CTACGGGAAGCCATGCCAGCTGCTGTAAGTTCAGGAGCAGTCAGCCGTGTCCCATCTGTGAGTTCCTTATTGCTCAACAGAGGAGGAGCCTGTGCTTTGAAGCAGACAGAACTGTCATAGCAAAGAATGTTAGAGGAAGGACCCCCTACTGCTTCTGAGGGGCTGGAGATAAAGGGGGCTTCAGGACAAAACCACAGGAGTCCTCGCTCCAAGCACTGGATTTGGGCAGAAATATTGACAACATTGTGGTGTTGGCATCTGGCACCTTCAGCAGAGCAAGATGGCATCTGTGGCAGTGGGGAGGATGTGTCTATGGGGGAGGATGTCCCCCATAGACTTGGATATTTGAACACTTGGTCCCCAGTTGCTGGTGCTGTTTGGGGAGGTTTAGGTCAGCCTTGCTGGAGGAAGTGTGTCACTGGGGACAGGTTTGAGGGTTTATAACCCTGCCCCACTTCCAATTCATTCTCTGTTTTTTATTTGTAGTTGATGTGATCGCTCAGCTTTCTGCTCTAGTCACCATGCCTGCCTGCCACCATGCCTCCCTCGCCATTCTGGACTCTCCCTCCGGAACCATAAGCTAAAATAAGCTCTTTTTTCCATAAGTTGCTTTTAGCCATGGTGCTTTATCACAGCAACAAAAAGTAGCTAATACAGCATCAGATGATCAGGGAGGATTATCAGATGCTCCTAAGGTCATTCCGGGAATGGCAAGCCCACCCCCATGCTTTGAGGGTAAAAGCATCACCAGACCAGAATTTACATAAAAGTTTAAAATTTTTATTACATTTTATTTAGTGTGTGTGTGTGTGTGTGTGTGTGTGTGTGTGTGTGTGTACACCATGGAGCACACGTGGAGGTCAGAGGACAGCTCACAGGAGTCGGTTCTCTCCTCCCACCCTGTGGGTCCCAGGGATCAAATTCAGGTCATAGGTTTGATGACCAGTGCTCCTACTCCCTGAGGCATCTTGCCAGACCATAAAAGTTTTAATAAAGCATGGGTTGTGGTGCTGCATGTCTTTAATCCCACCAATTGGGAGGCAGGCAGATCTCTGTGAGATCTATGCCAGCCTGGTCTACATAGTGAGTTCCATGCCAGCTGGGGCTACAGGGAGACCCTGTCTCAAAAAGACAAAAAGGAAGTTTTAATAAAGAATAGACACTGTAGGCAGAAGCTCAGAGGGTAAGTTCTCAGAGAGAGTGTTGCCCCTCTGAGAGGGAGTCAAGTTCTTTGATAGTAGTTAAGAAGTGACTTGGTCTTGCCTCCTGGGCCATTTGTGTGAGATCATATTTGAAAAGAGTTCAAGAGGGTATTGCACTATCTTGTTAAGTAGTAGACTTCATAAGACCACGTGTCCTCCCTGAGACAGCTCATCTGGGATGAGGCACCAGGAGTCATTAGGAGTAAGGCTCTGGTTGTTTGACTAAATCACAAATCACTGGGTCAGGCTACAAGCAGTTGGAGTCTGACTGCCAGAAAGCGGGGGATTTTGCTCTTTATTGGGGGGATTATTTTGGGATTGTTGCCTTTTTATTTTGTGACTTTTTGTCTCTACATATCATTCTCTGGAAACTCCCAAGGTGACAATTCTGCAATGACATGTGACAACATCTCACCCCTTCCCAAATTCTATTATTACTTACACTCTCTAGTCTGCTCACCTAGTCTGCCTAGGGAGGAGGGAGGGAGGGAGGGAGGGAGGGAGAGAGAAGGAAAGAAAAAGGAAAAGAAAGAGAAGAAGGAAAGCAAGGGCACACTATCACAAGAATGTGCTTGGGAGTGTAACATCCAACATGGATGGATGAGGATACATGAGAAGTGGAATAGCCATCCAATGGTGCTGCAAACAGTTGCTTAAAATCATGCTTTTTGGTGACTATTTGATCACATAAAGAAACTCTTCACTGGTTATAGTGGTACAGTCCAGCACTTGGGAGGCAGAGGCAAGTGGATCTCTGTGAGTTTGTGGCCAGCCTGGTCTACATAGGGAGTTTCATCCAAGCCTACAAAGCAAGACACTAAAGAAAGAGAGAGAGGAAGGGAGGGATGGAGGGAAGGAGGGAGGGAGGGAGGGAGGGAGGGAAGAAAAGAAAGAAGAGAGAGAGAGGGAACAGAAAAGAGAAGAAAATCTTCTTAGCTGGTAATGTAGCTCAGTTGGGAGAGTGCTTGCCAAGCATGCATAGAGCTCTGGGTTCAATCCCTGGCACCACATAAACCAGGCATGGGGGTGCATGCCTGTAATTCCAGCACTCAGGAGATAGAAGCAGGAGATGAGGAGTTCAATGTCACCCTTGGCAACATAGTGAGTTCAAGGTCAGCCTGGAATACATGAGATAAGGAAGGAGAGAGGAAAGGAAGGAAGGGAGGGAGGGAGGGAGGGAAGGAAGAAAGGAGGGAGGGAGGGAGGGAAGAAAGGAATCTTCTAAGACTGTCTAATCAAAGGATCAGGAAGAACCATACTAACATATTAACCATGCTTATGGCAAAAGTATATGACCAACAGTGGTATTTCTTTTTCAAGTAGATCTTTATTTTCTGAATGTGACCTTGGGAGTCAGACCTTGTTTAAAACCAGTTCCACAGTCCACTAGTAGATGAACCTAGCTCTTCTCACTTATAAAATGGGGCTGATCACACACACACTTCACTGGGCTAGACAGACTTAATTAAAGGAGAACATCATACGTTCCTAAGTCACACTGTTAACTGACCTTTATGTAGCTGGTGCTGCCCTCTAGTGGAGGCCCAGCATGGCACCACGGGCCTGCTGGAGGCACTTGCCTCAGTTGGTAGCAGGAGTGCAGGGTTGCACTGAAAGTCTGTCTCAGTCAACCCAAAACTTATGAAAGCCCTGTGTTGTTTGCTTCCTCCTGTGAAAGAGCAGTTGGTCCATTTGCAGGAAGAGGTTGCAGAGGAAGGGAGGTCTCTGCAGGTGGAACAAGGGGAAGGCCATGTATATGGGCTCCCTCCCTTCCTTCTTGCTCACCTTCCCAGAAATCCTCTCTGACTCTCAGGATGAGTGTTCTCTGCATTTCTTAGGAAATCCAGGTATTTATTTTTAAATAAAAGCTTTATTGAAATGTAATTCATGTACCATATAGCTCACCCATTTCAAGTATAAAACTCAATGGTTTTTAGTATACTATACCCATCACCACTAACAATTTCAAAATGTTATCACCCCAAAAAGAAACCCTTTACCCATGAGTATCCTTCACTTCTCATGCCTTGCTGCAATGGGCATAGCTGATCACTGGTCGTTTTCTGCCTCCAAGGATTTGCGTACTCAGGAATTCGTATGTAAATAGGGATTAATTATACTAATGTAGTCTCTTGTGATTGGCTCCCTCACTTAGCATGTTTCCAAGTATCTACATATTATGGTATGCATCAGTACTTATTTGGTTTTTATCACCAAGTAATATTCTATTGCATAGGTATAGCTTATTTGTCCATTTTCCATTGATTGACCTCAGATGTCTTTTTGGCTTTAACATTATCGGCAATGCTAGCTGTGCTCAGTTCAGGTCCAGGCTCTTGACCCTCTATTCCTACCTAATGCAGGGAGGCAGGTATATTTCTCCTATCACAATGACAAAAGATGCTGAGGTAAAATGACATCCAGTGTCATATTAATAAGTGGCAGAGCTGGGGTTCCCAATGCACCCCACTTCACCTTACTCCTTCTTCCCGGTACTCTTACCTCCTTTCAGTTGGCAATAAGGCTGGAAAAGGAAGAATCTAGTCACCCAGTGATCATTCACTCTATGATGCGTAACTGACGCCTTGAATACAGCAAGCACCTGTCAGGTACTGCCAGGTGGGACCCAGACGCTGCCTCCCAGAGTTTGCTACTGTGGAAAGCAAGCTGATGTTGGCCGTCCTGAAGGGTATGACCAACTGCTGGAGATATCATGCTACTGGAGAGTCCAACAAAGAACTTCTAGAGATGGCATTTTGAGCAGGACCAGATTGGGTACACTTCCTAAGCAAAGACAACTGACTGCCCACACAGGGGAATCAATGTGCACACAGATCCAGAGACCAGGATCCTTGGTCCACAGGACTAGCTGTGTTCCCTGGGGCCGGGAGGGGACATGGGGAGATTGGAATCACATTGCAGAGAACCTAGAAGGTCAGGAATTCATCTTGTAAGCCTTCGGATGTTTCTGTGCAGGGTAACAAGGTCAAAGCCATGACCTAGAACTCTGATGTCCATTCTCAAACTCAGGTTCTTTTCAGAAACCCGGGAGAAAAAAGAGCTGTGCTCTTCTGTATTCCTATGTCCCAGCACCCAGGATAGCATCTGTAAGTGCTCAGTGAACAGTTGTTGGATGGATGGATAATGGATGATGGATGGATGGGTGATAGATGGATGGATGATGGATGGGTGATGGATGGATGAATCTGTCAGCTGAACCTCTCTCTTCCTTTCCCCCTCCTGTTCTCTTTTCCCAGCTTCCCTCTTGGCCAGGTAGAATATAACTGGTATGTTTTAGACTGTCCCACCTTGCCCTCCTCCAGTCAGTCTCCTGGCCCCTTCTGTACCTTTCCACCACTGGTCTTGACTAATAAAGAGGCATTACCTCCACCGAGTGCTAGGCAGCACTTACTTTCCCTTCTCACAGTCGCCCTCAGGGACAGAAATGATCAAGTCCCTTTGCAGGTGAGGAAACTGTGACTCTGGTTACAGGACTTTCACAGATGCTGGTGACAGACCTGACACTCATCCTAGGACCAGCAAAGTCCAACTAGTGCTTGGAGCTGGACATGGAGGATGCACATTGACTGAGGTTGAAGGGTTTGGCAGGGAAGAGGAAGGCCTGAGAGCAGAGGGTTACCTCACCCCTGGGCCCCAATTCTATGTCAAACTATCACGCTACAGTGTGCAACCAGATTCCTCCACCTTTGCCCCTGCACCCACTCCCCGAGGGTGACACGTCCTCAGGAGCACACCCTACTCACATGTATACACAGCTCACACAAATCCAAACAGTAGTTGCTTTAACTATAGAGGCTTTATTATTGTACAAAATTGTTTCCTAAAGGATTTTTAAATAAAATACCTGAAGTCAATAAATACACCTCTTCCTGAGGAAGAAATGTCCCAGGGAGGGTTCTTTTAAAATCCTTCTGGCCATCTGGTCCCCTGGTTCCCAAATCCTTTGGGGGTAACCTGACTGTCTAGCACTGTTTTTAAAACTTTCCAGAGCATTACTTCCAAAAACCACCTTTGACTCCGAGTTCTGCCATGTTACACATGGGAAAAGTGATGCTCAGACCTGACAGGGGTCAGACCAAGGTCATCCAGCATTATTGGGAGAGAGGGGCTGAGGCCCAGGGACCTCTGTCTGCTCCTTTTTCCTCCAAAGCTCATGGAGTTCTCTAACCAAGATATGTGTGTGAGGGAGCAGGGGCTGCTGTTTCTCCTGCCTCTAACAGTCAGGTGGAATGACTGGAGCCGTAATGACCTCACATTTAACCTGGAAATTCACCTGGTGACAGAGATCCTGGCACACATGGGCTTTGGTGACATATCTCCCCTTCCACATCACTCCCTCACAGTGAGCTCTGTACAGGAGTAACTTCCTACCCACAGATATGTAGGAGCCTTTGCTTTGGATCACGATGAACTCAGGCCTCTTGGCATCTCTTCTTACAGATCAGAAGTCCTAGATGGCACTTAAATATCTTTTTTGTTTTTTTAAGGAAAAATAATGGCTGCTTAATACAAGTTGCCTGGGTAGGCAAAGTTTTTGTGGACACCGAGTCCTCAAAGGAGAGGAAAGATCCGACCAAGCACCCCCAGGGTTGGAGAGCGAGGTTTCTGAGCTAGGTGGTTGCTGACGGGGTTGCTTTCTTTGCGTGGCACTCCCGGTACACCAGGAAAGGATGGGCGAATGTCAAGAGAATGGCAAGCAACAGCCACATGTTCACCTGGGGAGACAGGAAAGAGAGAGGGCCAATCCAGCAACTGAGAAAGTGTGAGCCACACTCAGCACCAACAGGCGCCAGAGTCCTACTTAGTCTAATGTCTACTTTCTACCCAGATACCAGGGTGTCCTGAAGGACTTCCTGTTATTTTTATTCTACCCATCAGGGTGAAGAAAGAATATTATGCCCTTTAGATGGTGTCTCACATAGCCCAGGCTACCTTGATATTTTAACCCATCTCCTGAATACTGGAATTACAGGCCTGCATCACCACAACTGGTTTATGTAGTGCTGGAGATCAAACCCAGGGTATTGCACAGACTAGGCAAACACTCTATCAACAAGCCATACTCCAGCCCCTATGAGGGCCAGTTCACAAGTAGGGAAATGGTGACTTAGAGAACCACCAGGTCACATGAGACGTCGGGGAGCCACCTGCCAGACTACACATCGGAGTTAGGTCACTTGATTTTGCAATTGACATTTTCCTCCATTTTTAAGTTTAGTCGCATTTCTCTTAGCAACAAATTTAAACTCTTGCTTTGCACTTTCATCTTTAAAAAATTTTTTATTACATTTGTGTGCATTTGTGTGTGTGTGTGTGTGTGTGTGTGTGTGTATGTACACACGAGCATCATAGAGCATGTGTGGAGGTCAGAGGACAACTTGTGGCAGTTTGGTCTCTCCTACCACCATGTGGGGATTGAACTCAAGTTGCTAGGCTTGCACCCTTAGCCACTGAGCCATCGCCCCCACCTTGATGGATGTTTTTTTGTTTTTGTTTAACAATTTTTTAAATTTATTATTTTTATTTTACGTGTATGCGTGTATTGCCTGCACGTAGGTCAGTGCACCCCTGTGGTGCAATGCCTGCGAAGGTCAGAAGAGGCTGTCACATCCCCTGGGACTGGAGTTACAGACAGTCATTAGCTGCCATGTAGGTGCTGGGATTCAAACCTGGGTCTTCTGCAAGAACAACCAGTGGTCTTAACCACTGAGCCATCTCTCTAGCCCAATGGATCGTTTTTAAATGAGGCAACCAGAGGTGTCAGTTCAGAACACTGACTTCCAACTACAGAGATTTCTGTTCCTGAGACATGATTTTTTGAGTTTGTAACTCATGTAAACTCTCTGAGCCTCAGTTTCCTCAAAAAGCTGGAGAGCCCTGGTTACCTCCTAGGCCTGAGCTGTAAGCATTCCCCAGAATGCTTTCTAGGGAAGAGAGTACAGAGCTCCTGCCCTGGGGCAACTTTAGGAGGCACTATAGCCCTGAGGAAGAGGCCAGGATTGGCCTGCAAGCACAGAAAACAGGAAATAACCCTTTTGCTTGAAATATGTGAGGATTTTGATTCCTATTGCAGAATAACATACATTTATTTCCATACCCACAAACAACTATTTTTCTCCAAATTTCTGAATCCCACATTTTCTCTGGGAAGCAATTCCATGTTAATTCTGTGACTTTAGGAACCCCCAGCTAAGCCAGGTTGCTCCCTGTGACCCTAGTTTGAGAAACAAAGCCCAGAACGTTTCTGTGTAGAGCAAGCACTATAGAGGCCTGGTCTGGAGCACATCCAAGCTTCCTGAGCAGCTTAGGGCGCCCCCTGCTGGCCTGTGCTGCGAGCCCTGCCTGGGTATCCTTTCTAAACAAGGGCCAGCACACAGGCTGGCCCAGAGCAGGCCCTGCTTGGGACTCACCTGCAAAGGGTCATTGTGGAGCGGGCCCTTGATGAGGATGAACATGGGGAACTGCAGCAGAGACACAATGGCTGACAAAGCCATCACCAGCCCAAAGAGCTTTCCGAAGTGCGCGGAAGGAAAACTGGGGAGAAAAACAGATTCCAGTGAGCTTTGCAGACTCTCCCTCCAAGGAGGGGTCTGGCCTCTGTGGACCGCCCTCAGCCACATTCCCTCATCTCCCTATCCTGGGCCTGCCCTTCACCCACCCACACAGCCCTTCCTCTGCTCAGGCTTTCCAAACACGACACAGAGAAGGCATTGTGCTGGGTCCTGGGAAAACAGAAGGGACCTGGACACTGGCTGTACCTGGGAAGGTCTTAAGGGAAAGACAGATGTACGTGCACTGTCAAAGGAAGTGGGAGTACAGTTCCAGGCACAAAGATCTGTTAACACTTTCCAACTCTTCTCTGGGAAAGTTGGAACAGAAGTGGGCACTGGGGGGTGAATAAGAGTTCCCCAGGTAGACACAGAGACCCGGGGCACAATGGACACAAAGGCTCCATCCTGGCCACCATCCTCCATCTCCAGCCAGCGCCCTGTCTACATGTGCCCTCACCTGACCACTCCAGGCCTATCTCACCCCACAATTACCTCCAGTCTACTTCCCTTCCCCCCAATCCCATTTACGCCAGTGTGAGGAAGGCAGCGTTGCACCCGTAGAGGAAGGAGCGGCTGACAACTTGCAGGATGAAAGTAACATACTGGAGCTGGAGGATACGGACCGAGGCACACAGGGTGAAGCCCAGGCACAGCAGAGACGTCAGGGCCAGTGAAGGCACCACCGAGCAGACAGCTGCAGCCGAGGAAGAGGAGCCTAGGGGGAAGGGAAGAGGACAGGCTGCCTGGAGTTGAGCCCAAGGGAGATCAGGAAAAGCCCAGAGAGGGCAGACCTGATAGAGCAGAACCATGTGGGCGCAGGTCGCGGGTCAGAATGCTGACTTCTCAATGCTAATACTCCCCTCCTACGTGTCATTCAAACGTGTCCACTCCTCCCAGTCCCCAGCTCCTGAACTCACTCACAGATGATTACAGTGGCCTCTGAACAGGCTCTACACCTACTCTTACCCCTGCAACCTGAAGACAGGCATTGTGTGTGTGTGTGTGTGTGTGTGTGTGTGTGTATAGAGCAAAAGGCCAGAAACAACCAAAACATCCACCAACAGAGGAACATAGTGTCAAGTACGCACCAACCACATAAATGGAGAACTAGACAGTAGTTAAAAAGGGCAAGGGGAGTTCTTACTATAAATTAACCTCGGAATAGAGCTACATAGAGAAGACACCACACAACTGTGTGCACAGTGTGCTGTCTTTTATCTAAGAAACATACATTTATGTCATGATGACTGTTTTAAAGAAAAACAATAAAAACAGCTAGTTACAGAGAAATACAAAGGTGAACAAAATCAGAAAAGAAACTAAGCTTTGAATATTTGCTTCCCAGCTTTAGCTTTGAGGAAATGTAAATATTTAATGCACAAAATTGTGTGTGTGTGTGTGTGTGTGTGTGTGTTTTACACAGGGTCTCTCTGTAGCCACAGCTGGCCTAGAACTCACTGTGTAGACCAGGCTGGCTTCAATCTCAAAGATCTGCCTGCCTCTGCTGGGATTAAAGGTGTGCATTACCACATCTGGCTGCAAATTTTATTTTTTAATAAAATTAAATTAAAATGGGAAGAAAGCAAATAAAATAATCCTAAAATATCAGAAACAAAATGTGATTGACAAACAGCTCTGTGTTAAGTTGGATTTGTATGTGTATGTGTGTATATGTATGCATGTATGTATGTGTGTGTGCACATAGGTCACTGAAGAAAAGAAAGGGGTGTTCTCAGAGATAAGGACTGAGAAGGGGTGACATGAAAGCAAAAAGGGGCCTATTTGGGGAGTGGAAGGTACTAGCAGGAGGGATGCAGGGGCTAGGAGAAGGCAGTTGGGGAATGAGAACAATATATAATGAATATGAAAATGCCATAGTGAACCCCACTTTACATTAACTTTAAAAATTAATTTTAAAACAGAAAACAAAAGAGAAAGAGAGAAAAGAAAGAGAGGACTCTAGGACCCAGCTTGCAGTATTTAAATACCATCTTCCATTACAGAAACCCAAGACTAGTTGGAGAAATAGTCAATTTCAAGTTTGGGGCAGGAAGTATACCTGGTAAAACAGATTGAGCACCTCATTATGCTAGGTAGAAGGTAAGGTCGCTGTCTAAAGCTAATGGGTCATGTTTAGGGAGCCATGTATTAGACAGGGAAAGATGCCAATCAAAGATGTAAGCATCAAGACTGTGAGGGGAAGGTGCTTGTCAGAACCCACATGGTAGGAGAGAAGTGACCCCCCCCAAAGTTGCCCTCTGACCTTCACATGTGTGCTCAGGCATGTGCCACTCCACATACAAAATAAGTAAACATAATAAAAAATGCTTTTAAAAAAAGAAGGGGGCTAGAGAGATGGCTCATCGGTTAAGAGCACTGGCTGCTCCTGCAGAGGACCCAGGGTTAATTTCCACCACCCACATGGCAGCTAACAACCACCCATAACTCCAGTTCCAGGGGATCTGACACTCTCTTCTGACCTCCATGGGCATTGCAGGACACAGGTGCACTTACACATGCAGGCAATACACCCATACACATAAAAAAATGACACCATTTGTATCAAACTGGATTCTTTTTTTTTTTTTTTCCCTTCTTTTTGAGACAAGAGTCTCACTATGTAGCGCTGGCTGCCAGGAACTCGCTTCATAGACCAGGCTGGCCTGAATCTCACAGAGATCTGCCTGCCTCTGCCTTGCAAGTGCTGGGATTAAAGGCGTGCGCCACCTCCCCGGGCTCTAGGTGTATTCCTAAAACACAGTAATTCTACTCCATTTCCTGTGGTGCTAAAGCACCAACTCATCCTGAAGCCAGTAAAGCAGTAGAGGAGGAAGGCAGGCACTTACTTCAGGTAAAGAAACAGTAAGGGGAAAAAAACATTTCTTTCTAGAGGAATTGTAGCTGCTAAAAGCTGAAGAAAAGAATGGAAATAGTAAATCATTTCACAGCCCTAATCAAATCACGGTTCTCAAATGGATCACCAGCGCCTGCAGATATCATTAGGTGCAGGGGCTGATGGGAAGCTTGTAAAGGGCGGATCAGCCTGACGAGGTCTGAAGCAGTGGATCCATCTTAACGTCTAAAGAGCAGAGACAGCAGACAATGAGGCCTGTAGAGCGACCAGAGGAAGGCCACAGCTCCAGCTACTCTTGCCAAACAACAAAAAAAATTAAATTGAGTCTCCTCCAGCTTTGAAGCTGCCTGTTTACAGGAAATACCCAATCAAATTACAAAATAATACCTGAAGGATGCCAAGTCCAAAATGGAACTCTGACAGAAAAAATAACTCTCTTCAACAAATAAACAAGAAGGGGAGGGGTGCTGATATAAATTTTAAAAGACGGGGGTTAGGGCTGGGTATGGAGCTAGCTCAGTGAACATAGCTCAATGGTAAAGTGTTTGCCTAGAATATATGAGGCACTGGGTTCCATTCCCAGTACCACAGAAAGAAGAGGTGGGGGGGGGAAAGTCTGGGGCTGGAGAGATGGCTCAGCAGTTAAGAGCACTGACTGCTCTTACAGAGGACCCGGGTTTGATTCCCAGCACCCACATGGCTGCTACAAACTGTCCTTAACTCCAGTTCCAGGGGAATCTGAAGCCCTCTTCTGACCTCCACAGCATTGCACAACATGGGTACACTCATATCCAGGCAATACACTCATACACATAAAATAATAAATAAAATATTTTTTTAAAAAAGTCTGATAGCACAGTGGTACATACCTGTAATCCCAGCACTTGGGGTGAAGGCAGGAGGATCAGAAGTTCAAAACCATCCTCAGTTACATAGTGAGTTCAAGGCAAACCTTGGCTGTGTAGTGAGTTTGGGCTGGCCTAGGCTACATGAGACTGTCTGTAATTAATTCATTAATATCTTAAAATAAAATTAAAATAAAAAACAAAAAGACACATCAATTGAACTTTGTGGGGACTTTGTACTTTGAACTTTGTGTAGACAGAAATTGAACACACCAAGCATGAAGCAAGGCATTGGAGCCTGCGTTCCAATATGTATCGCTCAGTGTAGGCTAGCCTAATCATGCTCAGAAGACTTTACATTAGGCTATGGCTGAGCAAAACCACCTGACAGAGCCAGGTGTGATGATGCATCCCTTTAGTCCCAGCACTAGGGAGGTAGAGACAAGTGGATCTCTGTGAGTTCAAGGCCAGCCTGGTCTACATAGTAAGTTCCAGGCCAGCTTTGCTACAGGAAGACCCTGTCTCAAAAAGACCAAAACAAAACAAAACAAACAAACAAAAAGCCACCTGGCAGAAAGCCTACTACATAATAAAGTGCTGAATATCTCACATAACTTATGGGTAATAAAAGTGGGAAAATAGAATGGCTGTGTGGGTGTGCCTTTGCCTCAGAAAACAGCACTTGTCCGTGAGAGACCATCTGTACTCCATGGATTGTGACTGCCTTTCTCTACCCTCTGGAACAGCTTGGGAAGACACATATATCCATCTCATCCATTGTTAGTCAGGATGAGTCTGGTACCATGGCTGACACACGCCTGTGACTAAGGGTTGAATAGGTGGATGAACAAGTGCAGGGAAAAAGGTTAAAAGCAGACAGGATGACTGTGGAAGCCAATGATCTCCTCTTGGCTCTTTACTCCTTACTCACCTGTCTTTTGAGCTTCTTTCTGGTACTTCTGTTTAAGGCGGTCCATGAGCAGGCCATTCCAAGGGGCGCATAGCACCCCAAAGAACTGGGTGATGGCAAAGGCATTTGTGTAGGTACTGACTACAGAAAGGGGTTGAGTGAGAAGAAAGTTCCAGGCTTGCTTTACAGGTGAGAACATTCCCACCCTGCCCGTCTCCTCTCCATCCCTCCTCCCCACCCTGCAGCATATAGTTTTGCTGGCAAGGTGCTCATTCCTGGACTCCTCAAGGCCCTAAGCCCCAATCTAGGCCCCACAGTAGGCTGCCTCCCAGCCCACCACATACCTTGCATACTGTCCCCACCAGCCAAGTTGGTCAGTAGAGAGTTAAGAGTGCCAATGAAGAGGTAATGCCACAGCTGCATCACAGACAACCACACCAAGTGCAAGGCAAAGCACCGAGAGAGTACACAGCTCCGGAAAGACCGCTGTTCCTGCTCCTGCTGCCCTGGTCCCTGGCTCTCTGAGGCAGAAAGGAAGAAGCGGGCATAAATGACAGGGACAGTGGCGGGGCAGGATGGGCTGGAGTGGCCCTCCCAGGCCAGTCTCAGGTCCAACTTTACCTTCCATTGTTGTCATCATAACTCATCCAGTGTGCTCTGTGAGCCGAGTAAACTCCCCCACCCTCCACCATGCTTTATCATCCAGGTCCTTGCACCTTGGAGGGCTCTCCTCCTGTTCTGCGTCCTGAAATCAAATCTGTTCCTCACAGCCTGCTCAATGCCACTTCTTGCAATAGTGCCTTCCTGATCTTTTTTGGCCCAGATGGTGAAACAAAAGACAAAGGAGGACATTAGGGATGAAGTGAGGATTTGAGATGGACAGCTATTGTCCTGTGTCCCCTCCCTTTCTTTCGGTCCCAGAATTCCTCGTGTCTTGGGTATATTCCCTTGCCGTGGTCTCCCTGGTCCAGTTTAGACCATGAACTAAATGTTTTGTTTCTCATCCAACTGACCAATTAATTCATTCTCCCTAAGCAGACAGACTGTCCAAAACATTAGGAGCCTGGGATACGCAGAGGCAGCCTGGCCCACTCCTCTGGAACCTGCCAAGTTCATTTTCCCTCATCATTGTGTCATTGTATGAGCTTCCCAGAGTCCTAGTTCTCTTTTTATTTTTTGAGATCAGATCTCATGTATCCCAGACTGGCCTTGAACTGTGTATCTAAAGATGACACTGAAGATTTACAGGCATGTGCCACCATGCCCGGAGATATGCATGACTGAAACCAGGACTTCAAACATACTAGGCAAGCACTCTATCAACTGAGCTACATCCCTAACCCCTACTCTTTCTTTTTCTTAAAAAAAAATAAATTTTATTGTGTATATTTAAGGCATACAACATGCCTTCATTGGGTACATATAGATAGTAAAATGGTTACTATAGTGAAGCAAATTAGCATATCCATCACCTCACATTGTGGCCCATTTTGTGTGTGTGTGTGTGTGTGTGTGTGTGTGTGCCAAGAACAGCTAAAAATCTGCTCATGTAGCAAAAAAATCTCAAATACAGTGTAATTTTATTAACTGGGTGCTGAGGTTCTGCCTAAGATGAGGAGACTGGTTCCTCCTTCCCAGCTGCTATTTTCTGTCCTCTGACCTGTCTCTCCACTCCTTCCCTCTGCCTCCTATTTTTATTTCTACCATAGCCAACAACGGTTTATAAATTTGCAACCAAAGACCCAGAGCACATAGAGGAGAGTAAGGAAGCAGTGGACTGAAAGAAGGCAGATTCAGGAGACCTACAGAAATGGGGACCCATAAGGCCAGCCCTGATGGCCCTGGCATCCCAGGAGACTGCAGGACCAGAGGATGGGGTCAAAATAATGGAAGTGGACTTCAGAGCAGGGAGAATAGAGAGATGGGATAAGAAAGAGAAATGGAAAGGACACAAAGGTCCTGCCCTCTCAGAACCCTCTATAAAGTGAGGGGGCTTCCATAAGTTTAACTGGTCAAGAATATAAAATCCCTAGTCTATCTGTTAGAGGACCCACCTTTCCAATCTCATTGGTCAATCACCTGGTGATAGAACCACCCTTAGGAAGGCAGGTTCGCCTTGTTATACTAAATAGATAGGCAGAATACCTGGTGCGTTAATGAGGTAGCAAATTTTTCCTGCCTGGAATCCCACCTTGTAACAGAACCCCCGCAGAACTGCTGACCAGCCATGTAGGTCTCTTTAAGTCTGCCCACTTTCTGCCATTTGGGTCCATTCTTCAATTCTTTTATGAATGAGATTAATAGGGGACCTTCTTTCTCCCCATTTCAGTATAGGCCCAAACTATGGATATATGGTATCTTACTTTAAGAGACAACATGACCTACAGTAACAGTATGCGAAGGTGCTTTGCAGACAATGATAGACTGGCACCATCCTTTGAAATATTCTGGGAAAAAAAAATCATTTTGTGCCCTTTGTATGTTCAGAATGTAGCATTATCAGAAACCCTTAAAAAAATAAAATTTAATTTAAAAAACAGTAAGAGGGCTAAAACATGCTTAAGGACCCTTCTCTGCCTGGCCTGGCTGGTTCTGAGCCCCTGGGGAGACTTCCTGGCATAAAGAGTGGATGAGAAGCCAGCTGAGCCATGGGACAGGTTCTTCAGGGAACCTGGGTTAACCAGCAGGGCTCACCTTCCTTTGATGTAAGGAATTCCTTTGACTGCAGCTCCTTGATTTCAGGCTCAGCTGTTTTCTTCTTTTCCTTCCTGTTGCCAAACCTAGAGCACAAGCTATAGAAACAGAAGCCCTGGCAGTCAGGCTAAGGATCAGACCAGAGGGAGCTGTGTAGAAGGCCTTTGATACACTGCACAGGGAACCACCTTTTAACAACCCAGTGGCCAGGTGGCAGCTCAGGCCAGTTAAATCAGAATATCTACAGACTAAGAGCCAGGCTTCCACTTGTCTTATTTTTTTATAATGATCTCCAATTGATTCTGAAGGCAGACAAGTTTGGGGTACCCTGAATGCCTAGAAGAGGAGGATGAGCCTCGGTAGGTATTCCAGCTCTGCCTCTTCCTCACTACAGAAACATGGCTCCAGCTTACCTCTGAGTCTCATTTTTCCAGTTGGGGAAAACAATGGCAAGGCTATCAGTGAGAAAAGTGACAGTGGGACTGAAATCAGGGAGCACATTGGGTCTGACAAGCAGCAAGTGAGCAGCAAATGATTGCACTCCCCCCACTCCCCGGAGCTGACAGCCAAAGTGATCGCACCACTCCACCTCCTCTGTCTCCATCCTTGGCAATGGGACTTTGCACCTCTGCCTATTTCTCACCCTCATCTAAGCTACATGTGTGAACCGCTTCAGCCAAGAGAATGTAGCACAGGAGATGCACCAATTCCAACTCTAAGCCTCCGGGAACCTGGTGTGTTTCTGCACCCTCTCAGAACCCTGGAACTAACGTAAGCAAGGCCATGCTAGCCTGCTGGAGGATAAGCATGGAACCCAGACATCGCTGTCACTCCAAATCCCATGTGAGGCCATCCCAGGCAAGCCAACTCCCTGCTAACACATCAGATGACCAGAGGCATGAGGATCATCCAAGTCTGGTTCTGATGTGAGAAATAAATGTATGTCCTAGACCACTGAAACTTGGACTTGCTTGTTACACAGGAATAGCTCACTGATGCACTCTCCTATAACAGGTCTACTCTTCTTTGCATCCAGGTACATGTCATCCCAATACAGATAGATGAATATGACTCCAAGTAAAATTAGGCAGTCACAGATCAGATGGGGCTTTGGTCAACCATACTTACCCATAGCTGTAGTTGGGAGGCAGTGGGTAGGGGATATGCCCCTGGGGCATCAGTAGTAAAGTACGCCCAATATGCCAAATATTACAGACAGACAGGAAGAGGAAGGAAGCCCTGAGGCTGATGCCCTGTTCATAAAGAAGCTGCAGAAAAAAGAGAAACATCAGTGTAAAGCCCAGACTTGGAGCTACAGAGATGGCTCACTGGTTAAGAGCACTGGCTGCTCTCACAGAGGACCTGGGTTCAATCCCCAACACCCACATAGTGGCTAACAGCCATCTTTAACTCCAGTTCCAGGGGATCTGACACCCTCTTCTGACCTCCACAGGCATTGCATGGCATGGTATACTTAAATACATGCAGGCAATATACTCATAATACATAAAAATAATAAATATTTAAAAGATACTTGTATGCACTGGGCGTGGTGGCCCATGCCTTTAATCCCAGCACTTGGGAGGCAGAAGTAGACAGATCTTTGTGAGTTCGAGGCCAGCCTGGTCTACATAGCAAGTTCCAGACCAGCTGGGGTTACAGGAAGACCCTGTCTCAAAAAGACAAAAAAAAAAAACACTTGTATGCATAAAATAAAAATAATCTTAAAAGAAAACCATGCTCATAGGAATATTACAGACTGCAGCCCAAAGAGGGAAGTAACCAAAGTGTCTATAAATGGAAAATGAACAAAATGGGACTTATCCATCCAATGGAATATTATTTAGCCTTTAGAAAGAAAATCCAGGTACACGTCATCCCAATACAGATGAACATGACACCAAGTGAAATTAACCAGTCACAAAAAGACAAATTCTGTAACATTCTACTTACAGGAGCTTCCTAGGACAGTCAAATTCCTAGAGAGTAGAGTGGCAGTTGCCACTGACTGGATAGGGGTGGGAGGAAGGAGCAACTTGCATTTAATGGGTATAGGGTTCCAATTTTTTTAAATATTTCTTATTATTTTTATTTTATGTGTATGAATGCATTGCCTGCATGCATGTGAGTGCACCCATGTCGTGCAATGCCGCGGAGGTCAGAAGAGGGCTTCAGATTCCCCTGGAACTGGATTTAAGGACGGTTTGTAGCCACCATATGGGTGCTGGGAATCAAACCTGGGTCCTCTGCAAGAGCAGCCAGTGCTGTTTAAAAATATTTTCATTTTGTGTCTATGAGTGTTTTGCCTACATGTATATGAGTGCACCTGTGTCATGCAATGCCCAAGTAGGTCAGAAGAGGGCCTCAGATTCCCCTGAAACTAGAGGCTTACGAATGGTTGTTAGGCACCATGTGGGTGCTGGGAACTGAACTCAGGTCCTCTGCAAGTGTGGTCAGTGCTCTTAACCACTGAGCCATTTCTCCAGCCCGCAAGGTTCCAATTTTATAAGGAGATAGGTGATGGTGCTCACTGCACAACAGCTTGAATTCACTTAATGCTACTGAAGTATGCACACATGCCTTTGATCCCAGCATTCAGGAGGCAGAAACAGGTGGCTCTCTGTAAGTTCAAGACCAACCTGGTCTACATAGGGAGCTCCAAGCTGGCTGGGGCTACAGGGAGACCCTGACTCAAAAAGAGCAAAAACAAATTAAATTTTATTTACTTTTATTTTCTGTGTATGAGTGTCTTGCCTGCATGTAAGTTCACCAATGCATGCAGAGGCCAGAAGAGGGTGTCAGATACCCTGGAACTGGAATTACAGATGGTTGTTAGCCACCATGTGGGTGCTGAGAATCAAACCTGGCTCCTGTGGGAAAGCAGCACATGCTCTTAACCACTGAGTCATCATCTCTCCAGCCCCAATAAATATATTTTAAGTGATTATGATAGTAAATTTTTTGCTAGATGTCTTTTAGCACATGTAGAAAAGTGAAGGAGGAAGGGGCTGGAAGCCACATTTCCTTTCAGCACAGACTCTTGCCTGTCCTAAGCTATATAAGGACACCTGGTCTCCGTGTGCCCTCCCCCAGGGCCCAGCCAGCAGCAGGGATGCCATCCTGTCACACGGACCCACAGCTCTGTGGAACCTCATGTGACTCTCCAAGATCTTCTATCCTAATGCTTTTTCCTTCCCAGTAGCAAGACGGCTTTCTGTTCACATTTTCACATAGGAGTTTAGCTTACAAAGCAGCTGCAGTCATCCTCCCCTGTGTTCTTCTAAGTGGCTGACATAACATGAAAGGGAACCTCTAAATTAATCAACTTCCGGGCTGGAAACCACTAATCTAGACCAACTTCTTCCTTCACAAAGCGTGACTCTGAGATCTGGAGAGGAACAATAACAGGTGCTCATGGTCGGGAAGCAGTCAGTCAGACTAAACCAAAAATCCCAGCTCCTGTTCCAGCCTTTCCCTTCCACCTCTGGAGAAAGATGAGAGGAAGATGTGCGTCCAGGGGAAGGAGAGAGAAACTGGAAAATGGCTCCTGCAGGACCAAATCTAGAGTGTCCCAGGGGTTCAGACCCTGTGCCTAAGGTGCTCGTCCAATGGAAGTTCACTAGCCTATGGGTGGCCTAACAAAAGCCCAGAAGGAATCCCAGGTTCAGATCCACTTCCTTTCACTAATGTAACAGCCATTTTGTCCTCCACTTTGTTGCCTCATAATCATGAGGTATGGTTGCTACAATTCCAGCCATTACACCTTCCCACTGCAACAAAGAGGAAGAGTAAAAAGAGACAAGGAAGAAGGCTTTCTGTTGTTGTTGAGACAGAGTCTCATGTAGTCAAGCTGGCCCCAAGCTCACTGTGTACCGGAGGATGACCTTGAACTTCTGATCCTCCTGCTTCCACCTCCCTAGTGCTAGGTCTCTAGGCATACATCACCATGTGTGCCATGCTAGGAGTTGATCTCAGGACTTCATGGATGCTAGGCAGGCACTCACTAACTGAGCTACGTCCCCAGTCTGAAAGCTCTCTTTGTCCTCTGTTCTCGCCTTCCTTCAGGGAGGAAATGTCCTCTGAAGTTCTATACCATACACTCCCTTTATCTCATTCCCAAAGACAAGAGTTTGCCATGGTTCGCTTAGACCAATCAGACTTCATTCTGTGGGCTGGGCAGGTCACTGGCCAGATAAAACTGTCAGCAATGACTTAAACACTAAAATCATTAACAAAGCCAGGTACTTCGATACATGCTTAAAATCTTGATGCTTGGCCAGGTGTGGTGGCGCACGCTTGTAGTCCCAGCACTTGGGAGGCAAAGGCAGGCGGATCTCTGTGAGTTCAAGGCCAGCCTGGTCTACATAGTAAGTTCCAGGACAGCTGGGGCTACAGGGAGACCCTGCTTCAAAAAGACCGAAAAAAAAACTTGATGCTTGAGGGCTAAGGCAGAGTTTGAGGCCAGCCTGCCCTACACAGTGAGACTCCATCTCAAAAATTAATTAAAGCAAGGTGTGGTAGCACATATCTGCAACCCCAGCACTAGGAAGACTGAGGAGGGAGGATCATGAGTTTGGACCAGCCTGAACTACACTGTGAGTTTCAAGCCAGCTGGAACTACAGAATGAGGCCCTGTCAAACAACAATAATAATTTTTTAATAATAATTAATTTAATTAAACAAAAACAAAACCATTAGCAGACTGGGTGTTGATAGGCTGCTAACAGCCCTGGTAGCAGCTTGCTCCCTTGCTATTCATCACCACCACAGGGCTGAAAAGGCCCCTGTGTGGTCCCTGCCACCTCGTTTTCCTTCCTAATTACTTTTTATTGCTTTGATAAAAGTCTGATAAAAACCAAGTTGGGGAAGAGAGGGTTTATTTCATCTTACTCTTCCAAGTGACAGTCCATCACTAAGGGAAGTCAAGGCAGGAACTTAAGCAGGGCAGGAACCTGAAGGCAGGAACTGAAGCATGGACCACAGAGGAGCACTGCTTACTGGTTTGTTCCTCTGGCCTGTGCTCGTCCTGTTTTCTTATACAACCAAGGACTACCTGCCCAGAGGTAGAACCATCTGCCTAACAGGCCAATCTGGTAGAGGAAATTCCCCAACTGAGAAGGGGACAACTGAAGCTATCTAGCACATTATCCAAATCAGAAGCTCTCATCAGGAAATGCCCCCTTCAAAAGGGTTCCTGGTCTCTGCCCAGCCCTGGCCCAAATACACTGTACCCACATCTTCCTTCTTTACCACAGAGTCTAGGTTAAATGTGAAGAAGGGGCTTAGTTATTACAAGCTCAGCTCAAGAATCAGACAGGCCTAAGTTCAGGTTAAAATTTCAGTTACCAGCATGCATTGATGTCTCTAAGACTCAAATGTATCACCGGGAAACTGGAGCTTAAATACTCAAAGGCTGGCAGAAGTCATGAGGGTTCACAGGACAGACACCTAGAATAGATAAAGGCTCAAGTGCTCAATAAATGTTGGCCTATGGTATTACATATGTACGTGTGTTTGTGTGTGTGGAAGTGTGTGCATGTATGTGTGCGTGTGTGGAGATCAAAGGACAGCTTCAAACATCATTCCTCTGGGGCTGTCTATCTTCGTTTTTGAGACAGGGTTTCTCATTGACCTGGGCTGCCCATCAAGCCCCAGAGATTTGTCTGTCTCTACCACTTCAGCACTGGGGTTACAAACATGCACCAGGACACCCAGCTTTTTCACATGGGTTCTGGGGACCTGATTCACACCCTCCTATTTATAGAGCCAGCACTATATTGACTGAGCCACGTCCTCAGCCCCAGCTATTGGTGTTCTTACCTTAATGATAAGGAAGACAGCCGAGGAAGAGTCAAATGCTCCATTGTAGAGGGTGATGATGGTCGAACGATGTTTGCCAAAGAGATTCCCAATCTGGAGAAGACAAGCCTAGATCGTTTATTTATTCATGAAACAAATATGTCCTCAGCACCCAGCATGTGTCAGGCATGTAGAATATCCCAACACCCTTCCACCCCAATTGCTCCCAACCTGGCTTGGGCCAACCCTCCCCCAGAAGCAGACAATGGTCAAAGATGCTTCTCCCTCCACCCATGGCCCCACCTCCCCTAGGTGCCTAGTACAGTGGGGAAGGGGAGCAGGCTCATACCTGTAGGTTGGTGATGAGAAACAAGATTCCCCCAACTGTGAGCATGGGCATGGCCAGGAAGAGCAGCATGGCAGAGTCTAGAACCATCAAAGTCATGGGGTGAGGGGGGGTGATGTCAACACACACCTAACATGAAGCTCCCAAACTATACATGCTCCCCTCTCTTCCAGGAGGCCCCAGCTCCTGCCACCTCCAAACTTTTCTCACCAACACAGAACTCAGAGCCTTCATTCCAACCATCCTGCTGGCATCCCTTGAAGGCCTTATGGAACAGTCAAGACTCTCCATTCATGCCTGCAGAGGTGTCCTGAGATACTTTCTCCACACCAAATTTGGTCCTAACCGTGACCACAAGTATGTTCTACCACTACAGGAAGACGGGACTCTGGAGTCAGCCCCCAAGTCCAGCCTCGAAATCACAGCATGACCATGACCTTCAGCTGGCTTCTGATTTTGTACCTCACTCACCCCACCTGTTAAATGGAACAAGCATCTCTACCTCTCCTGCCTCATCAGAGCACTGTGAAAAAGGAATGGGGAAAAGTTTGTGGCCTTTTCCTCTATTCATGAAAAACTTTGAGTGACTCCTTTGTGCCAGACATAGAGCTTGGCATTGGAAATGCTGCACAGGCAGACACACTCCTTGCTCTCAAAAAAAAAAAGGAGTGTATTACAGGAGTGTATTACAACAGGCCTCTTAAGTGTTGGATAATCTTGGAGTGACTCATAGGTCAATGGTAGGGAAGCCCTTAATAAATTAATCTTTGCCAAACCACAGACTTCCGCTCACTTTTAGGATTTTGGCCATTATCCATGCCTATCTTATTATTTGTTAAAATGTTTTCTCTAAGGGATAGAAGTGTGGTTCCTGGGCAGAGTACCTGTGTGGGATGTGTGATAACCTCAGTTTGATCCCTATCACCTCACCCCAAAAAAGTTTTCTTTAACTTGACTCACTTTTACCCAGAAGAAGCCTATTTTTAAAAGATATTTTGTATCCCTACTATAAATAGAAACACTTGCATTGATTGTCATGAATAAAAAGTAAATGTAAAAATAAATACAAAGAAAGAAATATAATGTTGCTAAATTGTATCTGGAGGCAGTTGGGCTCAGGATGTTTAAAGTCTGATATCTTTTCATCAGTGTAAGTCCTGTTCACACCAAACCTTTCATGGAATCAGTGAGAAAGCAATAAAAAAGGAATAATTTTTGCACCCAGTGATCCAAAGCTTGTTGGTGCAGTGTATCTGTGCTCCTAAACCTCTCTTTTTTATATTTCTATTCACTTATTTGGATGTGTATGTGTACTGACATGTATGTGGAGGTCAGAGGACAACTGTGGGAGTTGGTTCTCTCTTTCCACCTTGTAGGTCCCAGGGACTGAACTCGGGTCATCAGCAAGCACCTTTATCTGCTGCACCATCTCGATCCCCCTGTCCACCAACATCCTCTTAAGTAACTATCATTCTATGCCTTAAGAAGTCCTGGAAAGAGATGATTTTAGAGGAGTCACACTATTTACCATTCACTTTCTATCCTTATCAAATATATATCTCTCCTAATGAGCTAAAGGTTAGAGATCAGTTTCACAATAAAATCATGGTAACCTCAAAACTTTTCCCAAAACAAAGTCCTGTTTTATGAAGGAAGAGGGAAGTTTTCCTGGGCTGGCGAGATGGTTTAGTCAATACAGTGCTTGCAAGCACAATGCCCCAAATTTTATCCCCAGATCCCATGTAAAAAGCCTGGTGTGGTGACATGTGTTTATAATCCCAGTGCTGGGAAGGCAGAGACAGGAGGATCTGGGGCTTGCCGGCCAGTCAGTACAGCCTAATCAGCAAGCTCCAGCAAGCTCTGTGTAAAAGGTAAGAGACCCTGTCTCAAAACAAAAAAAGGTGAGCTAGGTATGGTGGCACAGTGCATACCTTTAGTCCTAGCACTCAAGAGGCAGGTAGGTCTCTGTAAGTTTAAGGCCAGCCTGATCTACATAGTAAGTTCCAGGCCTGCCAAGGCTATGTAGAGAGACTCTGTCTAAACAAATAAGCCAAGGTAAGCCAGTGTTTTCTGAACACGACAAGGCGGTTGCACATGTGAACCCTAAGCAGTTGTTGACAACGTGTAACACCTGCACAAGCTCCAACCAGACTAAATCCTAGCATGGAGAGGGGAGGTAGGCACAAAGTCCCATCCCTAACTATTGACAATTGATAGCTGCTGTAAGGGGGAGAGTCAGTTTTATCTAGGGGAGTGTGACTCCTGGTATGTCAGCCTGCTCCAGGGGATGGACTCACACAAGAGCATGTGGGCACACAAATCAGACTTTATGGGCTTGAAAAGGGTGGGGGGGCAGGGAGGGGGGTAGAGCTGAGAGATGGAGGAGAGGGAGTGAATGTGATCAAGAAACGTATGAAATTCTCAAAGAATTAATAAAATACTACTTGTTAAATTTTTTTTATGGGGGTTGGGGATTTAGTGTTTTGCCTCCACAGGCATGCAATGCCTGCGGAGGTCAGAAGAGGGTATTGGATCCCCTGGAACTAGAGTTACAGACAGCTGCTAACTGCCATGTCGGGTCCTGGGGACAGAACCCAGGTCCTCTACAAGAGCAGCTAGTACTATTAACTGCTGGGTCATCTCACCAGCTCCCTAAAATATTAATTTTTTTAAAAGGTGAATGCTGCATAAAGATCACCCAAGGTAGACCTCTAGCCTGTGCGTGCATGTATAAGTGCGTGCACACACAAGAAATGATGTAAATAAATAAGCAGAGGATTATTGCTCAAAATTTAAAAACATGACTCTAATAAGATCTGTTTGGACTCAAACAGTCCCTAGATTTGCTAAACAAATCTACCAGAGACACCCCTGTGACATCGGCTGGCTCCAGCACAGCTATTGCACAAAACCACAGCTGCATATTTTCATTTCTCAACCTCCAAAGTTGAGCCACCCAATCTGACCCTGGAGAGGAATGTTGGGAATCATCTCTTGGTCAGCCTAACCATTAGTCAGGGTCAAAAAATCTGCCTTCTGGGTCCACTTCCCACAAGTTTTTCTGTGGCCTCAGGTAAGTCTTCCTCCCCCACCTTAGTTTTCTCCTCTACAGAACAGTTAGGAGGAAAATAAACCAGACTGGAATTCCTGGCGTTTTACAGACAGGTGATCATTGAAGGCAAAGTTTTTTGGTACTATTGTCAATTTTGACTCTAAGTGAGGATATTGTCAAAATAATCATGCACGTTACAAAAAGCAAGAGCATTTTAACACTATAAAGATATAATCCTTTCCTCAGGAGAATAAACTCACAGATCAGCAATAACTAAGCAACTCTCAAGGATTCTTTCCAACTGTGAATCTCTGAAAAATCATGGACCCTTTGCCTTTTGCACATGCCTAGTCTATCCACTTCTGAGCTTATCTCTCCCACCCTGCTGTCAACACGCACCTGCAGAGGCGAAGGCTATGGTGAGTGTGGCACAGGTGTAGAAACATCTGAAATACAGAAGCATCTAGTTAAAAAAAGAAACCTGAGGACCAAGCAGGATTCTGCTCCCCTGACCTCCCAATGTTAGAACTTGACAACAGCTTCAGCCTGGGAACTCAAAGGGTTCAGATGCCTCTGACAGGCTCAGCCCCACTGAAAAGCCCTGACAGACTAGGGCATGGTCCTGACCCCAGAGGTAGTACGTACGATGGTTACTCTCACTTGTCAACTTGATGAGAATCATGTGGGAGATGAGCCTCTGGCTATGTCTATGAGGGATAATCCTCATTAATTGATGTAGGAGGACCCATCTTGACTGTGGGTGGGACAGGGGATGGTGAACTACAGAAAGCAAGCTGAGCATTGGCACGCATTCATGACTCTGCTTCCTGACTGTGGATGCAATGTGACCAGCTCCCCCAAGCTCCCATCACAGTGACTTCCCCATCACAATGGACTGGAACCCAGAGCTGTGAGCCAAAACAAACTCTTTCACCCTTAAGTTGCTTTTGTCAGAGTATTTTATCCTAGCCACAGAAAAATTAACAGTAAGACAATGCATTTTGCTTATCCCAGGGTCAGGGCCAGGCTGAGAAGTCTTGTCATCAGCTAAGGACAAGATGTGTGGCAGGCTCAGGAGCACAGTGGGCAGGTCCTCTTGTCCTGAGGCCACCCCCTGAGGAAAAGGGTTGGTGTCTGATCTGCAAATCAAAACCTTGAGTTCTAATTCCTCCTTGGGCAAGGCACTGCCCTACTCTGGGCTTCAGCAGCCTTTTCTGAAAATGGAAAAGATTAGAGTTACCACATACAGCTGAGATTAGCTATGAATTTGACCTAAAAGAAAAATTGTAAACTTACTTAAAACATGACGGATTTTCTGTGTGTATGTAACTGGATTGTGTGGTTCTTGAGTGTGTTTTTTTTTTTTTTTAATTCTTTTTAAGTATGTGTATATATGTGGGTGCATATGGTTATGGACATGTGGATGCAGGTGCCCAAAAAGACTAGAGGCACTGGATCCCCCTTGAGCTGGAATCACAGATAGTTATAAGCCACCTGACGTGGGTGCTGGGAATTGAATTTGGATCCTCTGGAAGAGTAGTATGTGCTCTTAACCACTGAGCCCTGTCTCCAGCCCCAAAGTGAACTTTAAAGATGACAACTTGTTGACATGGTGTTGCAATGTCAAAAGGTTGGACACACCTGATTTAGACTGACCTAGACTCCAAACTCAAAGTTCTAGAGTGCAGACTTTGGAGTGAAGCTCAGAAGCCAGGCACTTCCCCACCAAGCATGAAGCCCTGGGTTCGATTCCCAGCACCATTAAAAACAAACAATGTTTGAGTACAATAATTCCAGAATACTCTCAAGGTTATAGGGATCCCTTAGCAGTGGAGGACTTTGTAAGGCATGAAATAATAAAAAGTGGTGCCCCAAAGCAGGAGAAGAAAAAGGGGAAAGGAAGTGAGGTGGGGAAGTAAGGAAACAGGCAGCCAAAACCAAGCACATCTGACTTAGAGTCACTATTCACTCAAAGGCTTTAAGGAACTATTTACTCTCTGCTTCCAGGCTGTGGCCCAAGCAGTCCCCCCGACCCTGCTGACAGCTCATCACACATGGGCTCTGGGCTCTATCAGCCTGAACTCAGCACGCCACTGCTTATCAGTGAACCTGACTGTGAGCACAGGGATCAGGAGTCTGCAGCGCCCTGCAAAAGCAACATGAGGTCAGTTGCTTGAACTCTGGCTCATTGGCAAAGGAAACTCCTATTGCAGGGGGAATGCCCAGTGCCTCCCCTCAAGTCAAATGAAGCTGAAATTCCACTATTGGGGATACCCAGCAAATGATGGAGTGGGGCCCAATGAAGACAAACCCTGAGTTCCCTAGATGTAAGGCCCTGAAGGAGATGAGAATGAGGATCCTCAGGCAGGGAAGGCAGATTGCATCAACTGTAGGTTGTACTGATTTTGTAACCCTGGCCCCAGACCAGGCCTCTCAGGAAATCGGCCGGGTTCCTGCTCCACTGAGAGGTAAGAAGATGACACATTCCTGCCGTGCAGGGGAAGGAGGTGAGGAAAGGGAAGCAAGGGAAGCAGTTGGACCTGCAGAAGAGTCTGCATCCTGCCAGCTAGCTGCTGGGGCAGGGTTTCCCTCCAAGTCAGACTGCTGCCTGAACACTCTCTCACCTCTGCCCAGGCAGGGGCTCCAAACTTACATGGCTAGGAGGCGGGCCACGGTGGTCTTGAAGCGGTCAAAAACATAGCCAATGGGAAAGGTCATGAAGTTGTTCATGAAGGATGCCAGGGTGAAGATGAGTGAGAATCTCTCATCCTGGGCTTTGCAGCCTGGGAAAGAAAAGCTCTCAGGAGCCCAGGACACATGAGCCAAAATCCAGTCACCCCAGCCTTCCTGCCAGCTCAGCATCCAGCCTGGCTCCCCTTCATCTTGGACAGCTTGCTGGGTGAAAAGCTGACCATCAGGTTTCCTTAAAATGCAGCTGTCTCCAATGGCCCTCAAAAGCTAGTACTTCTCCTGACACCTCCTACACAGAGGGGAGGGGGGCTCACCCTGATGTTCCCTCTCCCATAGAAAGACTGGCAAGGTGGGTAGGTATTGGACTCCTTCCTATTCCTTCCCACCTCCCAGAAACCAGAACCAGGCTCAGCTTCCTTAGAAAAGGTATTTTTGTCCTTACCCAGCTGCCCTGTGGCATTGTGGCTGGCATTATGGAGGCCATCCTGTGCACACAGCTCTGCAAAATAACCCTCTGTTTTGAACACAAACACCAGTGAAGTCCAGCCGAAGAGAACTCCAGCAAAGCCAAGGCATTCCAGCAGCCCAGTCAAGAGCGTAGCCAAGTGAAGGGGCAGGTCCTTGCCTGCCATGGCCCCAGGTGAAGTGGATCCTCAAATCCCACTCTGGCCTCCTGGGGCTGACCACAGGTCCTGGCGAGTGGATCCTTGCCCTTGCCTTCAAAAAGCCCTCTGTTTTCAACTGTCACGGGGTTTCACAAGGAGCACCATGGGATGGATTATCTGGATCCTGTAAAATAAGGCAGGGGTAACCTGGAACAGGAAGCTTGTGAGAAAGGCAGAGGGTGGAAAACTGCCCTTTAGGGGAAGAGCCTATTGTCAGTGAATTTAGGAAGTGAAAACTTTTAAACATCGTCAAGGGCTCACAGTTGCCTGGAGTTCGGTCTCTAGAAAAATCAACCAACAACAACAAAATTAACGTTCTCAAGTCCCCCCCATCATGGCATGTGCTGAACCACATGGATAGGCAGATAAGGAAGGTCTAAATGGAACTCGTGTGGCAGATAAACAGAGGGCTTTACACAAAGTATAGGGATAGCCGGAGATGGGGGCAGGAACTTTTGATTTTAGTCTGAATACTGTCCACTAAAACAACAGACCCCTGAGCCAGGCGCTGCGGATCGTTACACCAGCAGTCCAGCAGTCTGAAATGTCAGTTCGCCCTAATAAACAAAAACCTCTGAAGGTTTTGTGAACTTGCCCCAAGGTCACACAGCTAGTTAGTCACTGCGCAAAAATAGCCCTACCCTTGCCTAGGACTACAGTCCCCCACCCTCCGCTGTCTCTCCAGACATCCACTAACTTCTACCAGGCCTAGCGGTCGCGTCCCTCCCGCCGCGGCTCCCCCCCCCCGGGGGGCCAGAACCACAGCCAGCACCGCGGCGCCACCGCCCTCGGCCGCCCGGATCCCACGGCCCTGCTCCGCTCAGCCTGACCTGTTCCGCATCCTACCCGTGAGCTGCCGGCCGGGAGGTTCCCGCGCGCGCCTTCGCTGGGTTTCGCTCCTCTTGCCGCCCCTCCCAATCTTCTACTCGCCGCCTCCTCCCATTAGCGCCCTCCAGTAGGGGATTGGGACCCGCCTCCCGGGCTCCATCACTTCCTTCTCTCTCTCTCTCTCTCTCTCTCTCTCTCTCTCTCTCTCTCTCTCTCTCCCCCCTCTCTCTCTCTCTCTCTCTCTCTCTCTCTCTCTCTCTTCTACTCTCCACAAGCCGTCTAAGCAGCGGAGAGGATGCTTTTTGGTTTTGTGTTGTTTTGTTGTTTTGTCTTTTGAGGATGCTCTGATTTGACTGGTTGCAGCCTCTGGACTCTCCTGCCTCTGCCCCTCCTAACCAAGTTCATTTTCACAGTTCCACGAACAGGTCCACCCGTAGAGATCAGACTGCACAGCTCAGGGAAAGCAGGCTTCTGCACTCAAGTACGCACTCACATGCACGCTGTTTCCTGCATTTTACTTTGTCCACTTGGGTGGGCACGGAGCATATTGCTTCCCACTTGCCCATCAGCTCACCCCAACACCCACCCCAAATTCATGCTGCCAGGAAATCCCCATCACAGAATCAGGGAGCTGGAATCAAGACTGGCGTTTTCAGACACCATCCCTTTGCGGGGGGCTGCCTTTTCACCCCGAAGTACCCTTTTCATTGCCCTCTCCGAACCCCTGCTTCACCCCCTTCCCAGTTTCTGAGAGAGCCTTCCCGCCAGATGGCATTGATTATTCATTCATCACCCCATTTTTTATTAATCAAAGACATACATAATTGCCCATCGGAGCTTGTGATCAGCGTGAGATAGCCAGCCCGACCAGCTGCGAGGCGAAAGAGCTGCTGTCTTCCCGCCTGTCCCACAGCTTCCTCTTCAACGACTGGGGCAGCTTCTTGTATATTAGACCCAGACCCCCATGCCCAGCTTCCTGGCCCAGCCCTCTTTCTAAAGAAGAAATAGAAAGGTTCTTCGGAAGGCCAGAACCAGGAAGTGTTTTCCAGATCACTGGCAAATCAAAAGATCAAGGAAAGCCACTCAAGTGACCTACTGGTGGGAAAGGGTGCTGCCATCCTGCACCCCAATGACTTTGGAGATAAGCAGACAGAGGGGGGCTCCGGGCTTCCTCACCTGTGAGGAGAGAGCAAAGCTCCTTAATTATGGTTGTCCCAAAAGAGGCATAAGGTGGGTGTCTAAGAGCCTGGGGGAGCCCAGGCAAGCAGTGATCTCTTTGCAGCCCTGTGTACTAGGCCTGAGAAGTAGCTCAACAGGTGGAGACCTCAGAGGAACCTGCCCAAGGTCCTGCCACAAAGCTGTAGTATCCACTCAATCCCAAAAGCTGTGCTCTTAACACTCCTGCTTACCAAATGCTATTTGGACATGGCAGAACACAAGTCATTTCTTCTTTTAAGAGGGGGAAAGATGGGAACTAAAAACATAGCAGTTTAAGACAACAGGAACTGCAATGCAAGATTTTCCATTCTACTGCAAGTCACAGACACTGAAATTAATGCAGCTCTGGGCTTCTGCACTGGGCTTACATTTTGCTTTCCGGAAGCCTTGGTAGATAAGGAAGTGGGAATAACAAAGGATGAACAGAAAAAGTCAAAGCTAAGATAAAGAGAATTTAACATGCAAATCAGCAGAAGCACTCAGAAAGGCCCAGCTCACAAGCTATTTGAATACCTACGACCAGAACACAGGACTCAAGGCAGACCTTCCAGGACTCTAAATGTTCCCTTATTCCTCCCTCTTAACCAAGTGCCCCCACCCACCTAAGTATGCAGAAAACACCACCCCTAGTAACATGGCAGGCCTATTGAAACCATCTGGAGAGAATGCTAGATTCTCTGAGTCCTTAAGGTTTTATTTGGTTCAAGTTCCAACAGTTAGCAGAGGCAGGTGCTAGTCTGATCATTCTCTGGCCTCTCTCCACTGAGGATTAGTGTGCAACATCAGAGAGCCGAATGATTGTAATAAGGTCTGACGGGCTCCACCATGTCTTCAGCCCTCCTCTCTTTTCCTCTTTCCCCTTCTTTTATTGATTGCTTAGCTCAACAGATAGGTGTAACGCATCAAGCTCTGTGCCAGATGCTGCAATTCAGAGAAGAGATTCAGTGTCTTCCCTCAAGTAGCTCTCTAGTAGAGGAACAACAACAACAACAACAAAAACTGATTACTAAAAGGAGGGAATGCTCTTCCAGGCAGAGCCCAGCACAGTACTTCCAGCCAAGGGCATGGGGTCAAGGCAGAGCCTGGACAGAGCAAGAACATTCAGGAACCAGCTGGGGCAGACACAGTGAGGGTACTGGCAAGACTTGAGGCTAGAGCAGGTACCTGGGTGAAGGTGTTTGGATTTCAGCCTGTATCAGTCATGTCCTTCTGGCTCCATCCGTTATAGCTCTCCTTCCCATCCTTGACCACTGCCACAGCCAGCTATTCCTCATCTCTTGCTCAGGCATTTCCAGCCTCTATGGCATCAGGGCATCAGCCCTTCAGGGTTCCCATTTGATGACACCACTTATCTGCTCAAATTCTCTCCAGTCAAGCAGCTGGTGAGGATTGGCCCATGTTTTGGGGATACCAGTCATAGATATCGCATTACAAGGAGAAGGTATTCTTATCTCCCAAGGACTGGTACAGGGAGAACTTTTCCTTCCCATCACTAGTACATCTGGATGCCTAGGCTCCATCCCATGGGGAAGTGGGTTGATTTATTAACGTCAAGGATGAATGGTTAGCCACTCAGGGCAGTGTGAATGAGCAGCATTGAATCCCACCCTGGAGGGGGGAGCCTGAGGCTCTAGCTCAGTTACCAGAGTTTTTGCCTAGTATGTACTAGACCCTGGGTTCTAACCCCATCACTGCATAATAAACAAGGTGTGGGGGTGCGTGCCTATAATCACAGCACTCAGGCCATAGAAGCAGGAGGATCAGAAGGTCAAGGTTCAAGGTCAGCCTGGGCAACATGAGACCCTGTCTCAGAAAGAAGGAAGGAAGGAAGGAAGGAAGGAAGGAAGGAAGGAAGGAAGGAAGGAAGGAAGGAAGGAAGAAAGAGAGGGTACTCCTAGCACAAGCACTGCAGTGCTACCTTCCAATGCAGCCCTACCTCCCCTCTGACTGGTGTCCTCAGGAAGGACCATTCCATCTCCTCAGTTGCCACTCCCTGGACAGAGTTCACACATTCTTTCTCAACCCCTTTCCAAACAGGTAATCCATGAGCCATCCACATAAAGGGCTTTGCTTGCTGATAGACCAAGCACACAAACAAACCAAGCAAGCTCTCTTTCCTTTCAAAATCTGGGCTTGTGCAAATCAACGTTTGGCTTTCCCAACTCCAGTCTTGAAAGGGGATTTGAGAACCTCTTTTGAAAGTCGAAAGAGTAAAAGGTAAATGCAAACATTTTCCTTTTCATTTCCACTGGAGAGAAAAATTCCAGTCTTCCTAAGGTAATGCCAAAAAAAAAAAAAAAAAAAAAAAAAATCAGCACCACATTGATACTCAGCCAATTACCAATCTCTCTGAGCTTCCCTCCTCTCATCTACAAAATTGGAGTCGGGTTACAGTGTCTATTATAGTTAATGTATGAAAATTGCCCAATTAGTACAGTGGCTGATTAATAAGTAGCAGCCATTGTTGTTAACAAAAATTATTTAACTGCTGGAAAATCAAAAAGGAATCACATCAAAAATAAAATTAAGTTATATTTGAGAAGGATTGCAAAGTATCCCTAATAACAAAGAAATAAATGAGTCTTAAGGTCGCTGTGTCATAGCTCAGTCAAGTCACCTGTTTAAGAGCCCCATCTGGGGCTGGAGAGATGGCTCAGTGGTTAAGAGTACTGACTGCTCTTACAGAGGACCTGGGTTCGATTCTCAGCACCCGCACGGCGGCTACGAACCGTCCTTAACTCCAGTTCCAGGGGAATCCGAAGCCCTCTTCTGACCTCTGCGGTGCTGCATGACACGTGTGCACTCACATTCAGGCAATACACTCATACACATAAAATAAAAATAATAAATAATAAATATTTTTTAAAAAGAGCCCCAAGCCCGGTGTGGTGGCGCACACCTGTAGTTCCAGCACTCTGGACGCAGAGGCAGGCGGATCTCTGTGAGTTCAAGGCCAGCCTGGTCTACATAGTGAGTTCCAGGCTAGCTGGGGCTACAGGGAGACCCTGCTTCAAAAAGACAAAAAAAAAAAAGCCCCATCCTAGGGAAGCAAAAACCGAGGTAGGGTCAAGTTAAGTGTCTGCATGGTTGTGCTGCTGAGCTATGAGCAAAGTCAGTTCCTGAAACTGAGTAAACAGAAAGGGGAGGGGGGCCTTAGAGCTGCTCTCTCGGGGGGAGGGGGTATCTCAAAGCAGTTCTGACCAGGGTGGGACATGACTCAGTGGCTCTGAGTGAAGAGGAGGAGACCTCTTTGCTCTGGCAGCCCTTCCTCTTCAGAGGACCATGAGTGTGAAAGGATGCACAAGGAGGCACTGGAACAAGCCAGGCCAGCCACCAGCTCAGCCCTTGAGGACATGGTCAGTGGCAGCTGTCACACCTATTGCAGCCTCTCTCCCACTTTGCAGAGAATGAGGCTCCCCAGCCAGTCATAGTGAGCTTTAGGGATAGAAATAGGAGACCTCACCATACCTGGCCTCCAGAGTGTCCTGCTGCCCATCTTTTCTCCCCTTAACTTCACTGCCATGTTATAACAATTACTTCCTCATTGCAGGAGCAAAATACCTGACAGAATCAACTGAAAGGAGGAGATGTTTATTTTGGCTTGTGGTTTCAGAATTATTTCAGTCCATCGTGGTAGGGAAGGCATGGCTGTGTTCATGGTGGCAAGAACATGTGGTAAAGCCTCCTTGCACCTCAGCAAACCAGGACTCAAAAAGAGATAGACCAGGACTAGAGCTGGGCTATCCCTTCAAAAGCTCACCCCTGTGACCACCAGCCAAGCCCCACCTGAAAGACACCACATCCTTCAAAATAGCACCACAAACTAGGAACCAAGCAATCCAAACATTAGGCTGTGGTGGAGATTTCACACTCAAGCCATAACCTTCAGCTCCTGAGCCATCTTACAATGCACAATAAATTTAGTCCAACTTCAAAAGT